AGGCCCTCCACAGTCCCAAATGTACATAATCAAATGATTAAAAACTTGGTTTTGCATTATATGTCTCCTTTAAAACGAAGTTGTCAAGGCCACATGTGAAGGCCTAAAATCTCCAGTTTTTGTTGGTTACTCCATCGTTTCAGAGGCAACATTCTTCAAAATATGCTCCATTTATGCTGCAAAGCAGCGCGTTTTCTCTCTAAAGCGTGCGCATAATTAGCTTTTGCTCTCCTTCCCGCAGCCCTCAGGCCCCCCCGCCGCCCGAGCAGTCCTGGGAGGAAACGCCGTCCAGCGTCAGCCATCTTGGATCCGAGGATTTCAGAGAGGCCGTGAAGAAGAAAAAACACGCTTTGGTCATGTTCTACGCTCCCTGTAAGCCTTTGCGTTGAACCGAATTTTCTAAGAAAAATATGGTTTGGATGTTGGAAAGAAGGAGATGGATTTCTTTTGCTTGGCTGCTTTGATCAAAAACTCAGATGTGTGAGGGGTTGTTGTGCTCCATGAACCTTGTGCGATTATTCGCCGGGTTTATATAACGCAGAGCTTCTTGCCAACCTCCTTGTTACACTGTATATAAACCCCACCTAAACCTCTGGGAGCCTTAGGAATGACTCACTTTACACAGAATAGACTTAGACAAGTTTAAAGAGCCGCTCCGCCCGACTGCTGAGAAACGGGTTGTTTTAACTGCAAATGCGCTGCCAGGAGGAAGCTGCTCCTACAAATCTAACGGCCAATGAAATCCTGGATTTATTCGGGTAGTTCGCCCGCTTTTGTGAGCAAACTCGGCCCTCTGAGGTCAAACGTTTCGGCACACTTTGCCGCCACGTTAATCAGCACCTTCTCCTTTAAAGGGATTTTCACAAAAGAATCAGAGAGCCTCACAGCCCCCAGCTGGAGTTTGAGCGAATATCCCACAGGTTAAAGCCCCTTTATGTTCGGATCAAATGGCTTTTGAAGCTATTTTATTTTTTTATAATGCGTGTGGTATGTCTCATTGATATCTCCTTTAAATTCTAGTGTTTGTTGGTCAGATATGAATGATTACAAGGCTGGATGGCAATGACTCATTTAGTCAGAGTGTAGCTTTGTGCTAATCCGTTAGCTTTTTCCACTCTGATGCCCTCTCTCTTTGTTCTTCCACAGCTCGCGCCAACATCAGTTTAGTAGTTGCAACCAGAAACTCGAAACGTTCAGAGACCGCTGCGTGTTTTTAGCTAACCTTCAGCAGAAATGAATTCGGAGCCCGCTGGAGGCTGTCGGAGACGCGGCTCCGCTCAGGCAGATCAGTTTCTGATTGCAGGGCTGGAGCGAAATGAACGAGGACACGGCACACAGGCAGCACCCTCTATAACGTCCCCTGAGCCGCCCCCCCCCCCCCCGGCGTCAAACAATTCAAAACAATTCCTACACGATTAAAGTCACATTCCACACTATAATTCAAAGTCATTTTCATCCATTTCAGCCCCACCATGTAGAAATTACAGCACCTTTTAAACACAGACTCCTTTCAGGGACTCTGCCTGAAATAGAAGCTGGCCAGAAAGAGTCAAGGAGGCTGAAAAAACGAGGATAAAACCATCAGAATGGGCTCTACCTGCCCATTTAAAAACTCCAACGGTCTTCTAAGCCCTGTTGGCCGTCGGCCTGTAAGAGGAGCATCAGGTTTTCTGCACGTTGTCTTAAAGGAAACATATTATATCCTATTTCAACAAGTTAAGCTAGTTCCCTGGTGTCCTAATGTAATGTCTGTGACAACCTTTGGTCAAAATCCCATAAGGATGAAGCCCAATAGCAGTTCAGTCCCCCTGCCTAACCCTAACCCTAACCCTAACCCTAACCCAAAACAGCCCTGTTCAGATCGCTCGCTTTGGAGTGCCTGTCTCTTTAAATGCAAATGAGACACAGGCAATCCACCCACTTCTTCAGGGAGGTGTACCCACGTCGGCACGCTAACGCTACCATGCTAACGCTACCATGCTAACGCTACCATGCTAACGCTCACGCTACCAGGACGTCTCCACAGATAGGGGAGTAAGCTGAGGAGGGGGGCAACATGCAGGTGAAAGGCTGGAATATTATAATGAGCTAGAGCTAATGACGTCAGAAACTACCCACTCCTGAAACCTCCTGATTTATCTCCTGGATTCAGACTGAGGCAGCCCACAAAAACATGACTGAGTCTTTTTTTTTTCACACTTTGCCTGCTGATAGTCCCTCCACAGTCCCAAATGTACATAATCAAATGATTAAAAACTTGGTTTTGCATAATATGTCCCCTTCAAAAGAGCATTTGGTCCGAAACCCTGCAGAATTCCAGCCCTTTCAGTCGGAGGAAACGGCGTCACGGCTGCGGTCTGATTAAAGATGCAGGGCGTAAAACCCGGCGTGTTTGTAATTTACTAGCGGAATCAGAAAATCGTCCCCTCTCGCTGATAAACGGTTTCAATCCTTCCCGGTGAGCCGGCGTCCAATCGATCATCGGGCCTCCAATAAAGCCGTGCGGAGATAGTGACTTAGAGCAGCTTTATGACGGCGATAAAGACATCTGGGGCTGAGATGAGGGAGTGTGAACGCGCTGCAGGTGTGTGGACTCGCTTCTCTTTACGCCCACGGAGGAGATCCAGCTTTGTATTTTGCCACCCGTAATTCATAAGCAGCGTAAAGACGGTTTATCATCGAATCAGAGGAGCAGCGAGTGTCCAGACTGGGAGCTTTTAGAGCAGTTAACTCATTAACTGCCAAAGACGTCTATAGACGTCTTTTATGTTTTTCAACGAGAGTGGCTGGGGGACGATCTGCTAAAGCTTGTCCGTAAATATCAGGCTTCTAGACAGAGTATGTAGTAACAACTTTACCCTCTAGGGGGCAGTGCCACTTTTGATGGGAGATGAGCATAGACTGTAGGCAAATAAGAAAAAGGTAACGGTTCGCTATGAGAGAACATGTCGCCGGTGAGACGCAAGTCCAGGAAGAACGGAATAAGGTAGAAACAAAAAATTTTTCCTGATGAAAGAAGAGAGTCTACTCTTTCTTTTGGTGTGTTCGGTGTTTACATAGTCATAGCACAAACTATTCTGTGGCTCTTGAAAAATCAGTCAAAACGTTAAAAAAACTGGCAGAATGGGACTCTGTTCTGAAAATGGCTGCCAGTCAATGAGTTAAAGACCAAATAGAGAGGTGGAAGTCAATTAGGACACAGATCAGTCAACATGCAAATGTATTCTAGGCAAATATACAGAGGTGCTGTATAAACAGATTAATAATGAACACGTGTTTGACGTTGAGCTTCGTAATGCTCTGTTTGAAGGCCTTTAAAAACCCTTTTTCTAGTGTGAATCTAAACGGATAATGACCATGTCCCTCCTCTCTGTTTCCTTCCAGGGTGTCCGCATTGCAAAAGCTCCATCCCTCACTTCACCACGGCGGCGGAGCTCTTTAAGGAGGACCGCAAGGTCAGTTTGGCTCGCAGCTGTCCGTCTCATCGTGTCTCCAAAGAGCCCCCCCCACCAAACAACACCCCCCTCCACCCCTTCTCTCTACCTGTCAGAGCATAAACGCTCTCTGCTTGTTAGGGTTGTCTCGATACTAAAATGTTCAACTGGATACCGATACTCAGGAGAATATTCGATACCATTTTGGATACCACAAGGATAAAAACAATTTTGACAGGTTATTGTCTTTGGTTTCAAACTGACCTGTTACTGATGTTATGGTGGCCCACATTACTGACCCTAACCCTAACCCTCCAGCCTTCATAATTATGAGAAATAAATATTTTGGTTAAACTTGTTTGGACTTATTGTACAAACCTATTTAACATCCACTATTTTAACATAATATTATGGATAGAGTTTAATTCAGTGTTTGCAAGATTCATTTCACTATTTTTATTTTTAAATGAATGTCTATATTGCCATGAAGCAATTAGGATTTTCTTGCCTGGGATCTTCCTATTGGTGACCTAATCAAAATGGCCGACTTGGATGTGGGGGAGTTGGATATCCATCCTTGTCTTCCTGCAGTCTGCATCCAGACGGACTTGATTAATGTGGGCGTGTCATTATTAGCCATTAGCCGCAGCTAGCAATTCAAGGCTAACGTCACGTTAATGATCATAAACAACGTAAATAAATAAATCGGAGAGGGGGTGGGGGGTATCAACGCTTTTGAAAATGAGTATCCTATCCAGATACAACATTTTAGTATTGATATTTTTTTTAGTATCAATACTTTTGACAACCCCACTGCTTGTGCGGTTTTGGGGTTATTGCAGGTTCACGCAGTCAAAAGTCATCTATCTCCACTCCCCCTCGTTGCTTTTCCATGTGGGAGTCGTGTGTCAGAACCTGCTGCTCTTCTCTGTTAATACTGGGCTTTCTCTCCCCAAACCTGCTTATCTTTGAGACCCAAACCCTGTAAAAAATATAAATGAATAAGAGTACGTGTCTGGCACCTCTGGCTGCAACAGTTCATCATCTCACACGACGGTTCCTGTGACTTTGCTGTAAATCAGGACGTCCGACCCCGGTTGCTCGGGGAGTGCTGCTCTCACTGGTTTGGAATCCTCCTAAAAATCATTTTCAGATGCTTCGAAGCGGTGACGTGTCGTTGGAAATGTTTTGTCCAAATCTCTGGACGCTGGATTTCCTGTTTTTTCGCGTACACTTTTAACCCATGGAGTGATTTATTCCTTTGCAAAAATATTACCCAAACTCAGGTCAGTGTGTTGTCACTGGACGATAAGGAGATATAAATTTAATCAATGAAAGCAGCCAAGAAGCACAAACCCCTCCGGTCCAAACGCCTGTTAAATATTGACTTGATATTTATCGAGAGGCTTTCGTAAGAAGTGTTTTTTCTTCTCTGGGTCTCGGACCCACAGCAGCTCGAGGCTCTTTGGCACAGCTCTCAAATCAGCTGAGCAAATGCCCAAGTTTTAGATCCCCCCCCCCCCCCCCCCCCCAGTTTTGAAGTTTTTTTTCGAGTCGAGTAAATCTGCGGAGAGCCTGTGTTTACTTGGCAATCCCGTGTCTTAATCAAGCCAAGCCCCAGTGCTGATCACAGCCTATTAGCTGCCCCAGCCTCATTTACCAAAGACAACAGGGGCTTAGCTGGGCCTTTTTTCAAAAGGCAAACAATTAAAACTCTCTTTGTGCTTAGGCGTGTGTTTGTCCACCCAGAATCCCCAGAATTAAAGAGCTCCTCTCCAGCAGGATTAGCTTCATATAACGTATTATCCAAACTTTTTACGGCAACCGATCCATCACAGAGACCTCAGCGTGCCACAACACGGTTCTCTTATTCTGCTCCATCTTCAGCTATTAGACCGAAACCAGGCCAAGTGGGTAATATGCCGCCCCTCTAAAAATTTAGCAGGCGGGTCGATGGCGCGATGTGAGGTCCTCCGTCACCTGAACGCGGATCGATGGCGGAATTGGCTGCAGACCTTTGAAGAACAACAGCTCCACGACTTCATCTTCCCCTGCCAATTCACCACAACTCTGATTGATGGCTCAGAGGGTTAGGACACCCCCCACCCGGAACGGCTAGTCCGGTTCAATTCAATTTCAATTCAATTTTATTTATATAGCGCCACATCACAACAACAGTTGTCTCACAGCGCTTTCCAAACAGAGCAGCATTCCCACCATGAGCAAGCACTAGGCGACACAGGCAAGGAAAAACTTCCTTTTGGTCTGAGCCACCTCAGATCGGCCGGGCGGCAGCTCGAGCTCCGGCCAAAGCAAAACAGAGGCAAAAAAACAAAGATTATCTGTCCGCTCCGTTATCTCTAACCCCCCCTCATCCACCCCCCTCATCCACCCCCACCGGAGCCGTTCAGCTCATTTGTTGACACTTGTGCAAATTCGGAAGATTTGAGTCTTTTTCCATTTGCATATAAAAAGCCAAGCATGGATTTTCGGATCCCCGACAAAAGCGGAGCGATTATTTAATGGTGATGGGCCGAGAGGAAAAAAGCGTGACGCTCTCTGGGAGGGGGCCGTTTCATCCATCCAAGAGGACGTGCTGAGCAAGCTCTGTGTCAGTGAGGGGGCTTTTTGCCAATCGATGAGCTATTCAACATAACATCTTTGTTGATTTTGTGTGCGGGGCTTAATGCCGTCTGCGTCCGCTGAGGAGAAGTGGACTTTGAAAGCGGAAAAGCTCGGATCCAAGTTTGAAAAGGGCACGTCGAGGGTCCTCCATCTGCTGTGGAGGCAGTTTTAGCTTGAAAAAATGTCGGCACGAGCGCTTGAAAAGACAGCAACAATATTAACCCTTAATCACCATGGGTGGGTACTACACTAAAAATAACCGAGTTCTCCTCCATAGCGTCACTCACACAACACACTTCATACAAGTCTAATTAGACACAGTCAATTCAGGTTAATTATAATTCTTTATAATCCCGTTATAATCCTGCTAGCCTGCTTTCCAAACGTTGTAAATAAAGTTTTAGCTAAGACAGGGCTTACGTTTGTCCTCATAGTGGGCGAATAACGACTTCACCAGTGTTTGTTTATCCTTTGATTACATTTCAGCCACAGTTTATTTATGGATTACATGTAAAAGTGGAGTTTTATTTAAAGTCTTTTTTATAGAAAGAGCTCCTGGCTGGACTGTAATCGAGCTTCTCTCTGCAGATCGTCTACGCCGCCGTGGACTGCACGAAGGGCCAGAACCACGAGCTTTGTAAGCAGGAGGGGGTGGAGGGATACCCCACCTTCAACTACTACAACTACGGCAAGTTCGTGGAGAAGTACGGGGGCGACCGCGGGGTAAGTGGCACCATCCCCGGGATCAGGAGTCTGCCTGCTTCCTGCACAGATACAGAAAAGAGACGGAAAGTAATATTAAATGTGTAGGAGACTTTATTTAAAGGAGACATATTATACCCTATTTCAACAAGTTAACCTAGTTCCCTGGTGTCCTAATGTAATGTCTGTGACACGCTTTGGTCAAAATCCCATAAAGATGAAGCCCAATAGCAGTTCAGTCCCCCTGCCTAACCCTAACCCTAACCCTAACCCTAACCCAAAACAGCCCCGTTCAGAGCGCTCGCTTTGGAGTGCCTGTCTCTTTAAATGCAAATGAGACACAGGCAATCCACCCACTTCTTCAGAGAGGTGTGCCCACGTCGGCACGCTAACGCTACCATGCTAACGCTACCATGCTAACGCTACCATGCTAACGCTCACGCTACCACGACGTCTCCACAGATAGGGGAGTAAGCTGAGGGGGGGGGCAACATGCAGGTGAAAGGCTGGAATATTATAATGAGCTAGAGCTAATGACGTCAGAAACTACCCACTCCTGAAACCTCCTGATTTATCTCCTGGATTCAGACTGAGGCGGCCCACAAAAATATGACTGAGTCATTTTTTTTTCACACTTTGCCTGCTGATAGGCCCTCCACAGTCCCAAATGTACACAATCAAATGATTAAAAACTTGGTTTTGCATAATATGTCCCCTTTAAAGCTTGTGTTTGGATTTACCTGAATCGAAGCAGGACAATGGAGGCCAGAAGGGAAGAGTTGCAGGCAGAAAAGTTCATCTGTACTTTCCATTAGAAGTCAAGTCACAAAACCCTGAAAATGCAGATTACAGTATGAAGAAGTTTTGGTTTAATTGCTCCCTGTATGCAAAAAAGGGTTTGAGACGGCCTTCTTTTGAGTTAATGACCCAGAACAATGCCGATGTTAAATCAGTAGAAGAAGAAGTAACCCACTTCCAACCCGGAGGAGTGAACGCGAGCGGTCCGGTTTCTGGGCTAAACGATTAACTATTCGGTTTCATCCGTGGCCCTGTAACCACGGCAACAAAACAAAAACACCACCAATCCGTCCAAGGCTGAAAACGAGCGATTTTTGCGAAACAAAAGCAGAATGAAACAAAAATGGTCTCCGCTGTTGAGATGGATTTCTGTCCCTGAAGACGAGGCCGTGGTCGGGTCCGGACACCAGAGGCTTTTGTAACCCGTTTAATGGCGTCCGGCAGCCTTTAGCTCAGAGGTCTTCAATGTTTTCCAGGCCAAGGACCCCCAAAACTGATGGCGAGATGGAAGGAACCCCTAATTATATATATTGTCTGAAATTGTGTTCTATCAAACATGTCCTATAGTGTGTAAATGTACCTTGTTATTGGGCATTCAGTACTAAGACACTCAAATAATCCAGAATACACAATACAATATTACAGAAAAAGGCAGAAAAGAGAGCAGAAAGATAGAAAAAGGCAGAAAAAATTGGAAAAACAGCAGAACGAGCCAGAAAAACTGTAGAAAAATAACAGAAAGAGACAGAAAAAGGGGGGTTAGGGTTAGGGCCAGGGTAAGATTCAGGGTCAGGGTTAGGTTTTGGGTCAGGACATCGTTTACTTTCCGATTTCGTATAGACAGTAAAGTTTCGTTTCCACCTCAGAAAGCTGCTAGTCACATGACCTAATCAAAATGGCCGACTTGGATGTGGAGCTCCTGGGCCCGGTCCCCGACAGCTTTTTTTTTTTTTTTTAAGATTGAGCTGGAATCTGGCAGAAGCCCCTGGGTTCCCCGTCTCTTAACATTTAGTGACAGGATTTTGGATCTGAAAACAGCCTTTTAGGACTAAAAGTTTGGCTGAAAATCCTCTTTTTCTTTCTTTCCTCTCTCTCTCTCCACAGGAGGGCGGCTTCACGGGCTTCATGCGCAGCCTGAGAGGACGGGACCAGGAGAAGGTGGTGAAGAGGAAGGAGGAGCTCTGAGGGGGGGGCGGGGCCTAATCTGCACTGACTTTTGGAGACCGGATGACCTCAGAGAGGCTTTTTTTCTTCCCGTTTATTTTCCGGATGTGCCACCGACCACTTCCAGGCGTCCTCAACCCTTCTCTCTTCCTATTCTCTTCTCTTCTCTTCTCGCCCAATCACTGTGACTGAACACGTGAGAAGCTCCTCCCTCTCTCCCGTATCTATGCAATCAAAGGAAACGCCATAAACGGCTCAGAGCGGAGATCCGCCCCTAATCATGACTTTTGGACCCCCGAAACCTTTTCGATTCCTTTCTTTTCGGTGCATCGGATCCATAACAAACTCCCGAACTGGTAAAGGAGACCAGAGCCTTGGTGGCCGTTTGGGTTTTAGACGAGACGTGGAGAGAGATTCGGTTTGCTTAAAACTGAAAACTGTGGCCTTAAAGATTAAAGAGCGCAAAATACCCCGAATATGACGAGCACACAGGAGGCCCGGTGCCTCTGGAGGAGCCGATGCTTTTCATATTTACCCTCATTTAACCTCTTCATTACCGGGTCATTAAAGGGGGGTTTGGGGGGGTTCCTGCCCGCATTTTACCTGGCTGTAAAACCCCAGACTGAGGCCGTTTAAAGAGTTTTTCCCTCCTTTTGAAAGAGTTT